CCAATACATACGGCCTGGACTTTGTTTTATAGTGGAGCTGACACAATCAATTTTCCATTTTTCGTCCGGTTCGCGCCTATTATCATTCTTTATTAACAACAGCACCAATTGTAAATAACAATGATTTTTCTCTTGATATTAATATTAAACCAAACATTTCGATAAATAATTAAATCAATGGCTCAAAACTCGGTGATCCAGGGCATGGTGATGCTGGATATGGTCGTTCATCATTCACTTCGGCACAAGCATTTCCATTCTTTGCCTTTTTTCCCTTTTTCGGCGTTGACATGCAATCAGATAACTGGCGCTGATTTATGCCTCGAGGTCTCTTTCGGCGCCCGGCTGTTTTAAACGATTCAATAGTCTGTTCACTTGCTTGTATCACTTTTAATGTTTCTTTAATCACAGTCTAACATTTATGAAATTTATGAGCATATTGTTTACGTTGTTTATTGCAATAACAAATTTAACTAACCTTTAAGTTCAAAACAGATGCTAGTATTTTTAGAATAGAAGGAAAATTTTCTGGTTTATCCGGCACCTCCATCACTTCACCACGCTGAATTCTACATATATAGCCTTGTGGATTGTCAAGATGGACCGTCATTATCATCAATCCTAAAGTTAAGGCATTAGTTGAATTATTGAAGATTTATAATTCATATATAAAGAACATACCTGCATGGATGATTCCAACCGTCTGCATTTTTGCGCATCTTTCCCTATTCCAATCTACTTTTTTCATCAACTTTACCAGCATATCCTTAAGAACTTTGGGTAATTTCAAACCCGCCTCCTTAAAAAACTTGGTTCCGTGATCATCCGTCCAAACATTTCCAGCTTCGCCTGCACCAAACTCATGTTTGTCACCATTAGTGACGGACCTCACGATCCAATCGCCCCTGCGACCCATTTTTCGTCTCTCCCCAGACTTTCTTTTCTTATTTTTTCGAGAAGCTGTTGCCAAACTTGCACTCTCGCCCCTTGATGTTAAACATTATCAGATTCATCAAAATAAACAACGTATAATTTTTAAAAATTACCTGACGACAGATATCACATTAATATCTCCGAAAGCTTGGTCAAAGATTACGTTCCAAATGTGACAATTGAACCAAGCTTCCAGTTTCGTGTCTTTCATGCTCCCACCTTGAATTTCTCGAACTCTGAAATAATAAATATATTTAGTCGGTCACGCCGATGCATCTAAAGAACTTTAATAAATTATTCACATACTTACAATGAATAAAGTGCATAGATTATATAATCCTTATCATGATGGTTTTCATGATCATAATTGTTACCAAATATCTTTGACTTTATGGTCTCTCGAATCTCATTCAAACTAGTCTACAATAGGAAAAGGGATTGATGACTTTGTTTCAATACACCTATCTTTGTCATTAACAGTAAATAAATTATTACCTTTCCAGCGAATTCATATAGAAATTCAGCGATTTGATCTGGAAGATCAGGTACGTGAGGGCCGGCGGCACAATCAATTTCGTCAAGTTCTGTGTCACTGAAATGCGATGAAATTAGTTCGTCGTCGACGTCTATAATAAACGAGTGGATAACACTAAGAAAAAGGAATAAGACCACAATTTAGTAAACTTATTCCTACACGAACATAATTTCATGCATGAATACTAACTGCTCGAATTCCACTTCTTGCCCTAGTTTATATAGTTCTTTTTCGACGAATCTTCCAGTCGAAAGTTTCCACATGCATCGTTCGTCCATTGACTTAAAGGCTGTATCAATTTCCTCTCGATTTTCTTTGCTTAGTCTAAATGGTCCTACCTAGACAGGAGAAGCATGTTCGTAAAAAAAAATTAAAAAATCACTATTGAAGATTTACTTTGTTTTCCTTTGCCACTTTGGTCACTTTCTTCGCCTTTTCACCACTGATCGCATCCTTCACTTCTTCTTGATCTTGACCATCAATCGCCTCCTTCAGGAGTAGAAATGGTGAGAATAGTAAACATTTACTGCGAACAACACCTACCAGATATAATTTACCTGTGTATCGAAATCACTTTTTTCAGAATCATCATCCTCAGATACAGATACTGGATCCTGCGATTCAACATTATCTTTTGAACTAGCATGATAATCTACTCCGCTTCTTGATCGACTTTGTCCTTGTTTATCCTTCTTGAGTCTTTTCGATGATCGTTGGCACTCGTCCACAATTTCATCTCCAACATCCTCCCCTACAACTTGATATATATCAATAGTTTTTGTCCGAACAATTCCTTTTACACGATTCTATAATAAAGTTTGATGGTTTTGATTATATTTATTCATAAATTAACGTATACAAATGATGGTTTCACCTGCCTTCTTGCGTTCATCTATTACTTCCTCCCAATATAAACGAGTATCCTATTGGAAATAATGTATAACATGAATAATATGGCATATAAAACAAGTAGCTCTATAACGTCTAACTCTATAATATCACAGAATAGACCATGTCGCAAATAATGAGAACTAGGAAAATGTGCCTATACTCTGGATTCAGGTAAATAGCTGTCAAGAGGTGTTCTTCATTATCACTTGGGCTAGGAAAATGTGCCTATACTCTGGATTCAGGTAATATCTGTCAAGAGGTACCCTATGGTCAACTAAATTAAAATACATTCACCTCTTCCGCGACCGACGGTAGATTCAACTTTTTCGTTGCCTTCGAAAATCGTCTGTACCACGCACCATTGAGCCCTTTCCAATCTTCTGTTAATGGAGGACTTTTGACAATTATGTGGCGGGCCGATTTCAAAAATCCCAAGTATGAAACGGAACTGGGTGCAGTACTGGTTAAATAGGTTTCGAGGACTATTTAAAAAAAATATGATCAATTAGTACCTATTACATAAGAAGCATATTTTGAATTAATACTTGCCCGTTCGACCGGGATATTGCTTTGTTGACATTATAACTATGTCGTGATCTTGTGAAGAATATACAAGTCACGTAGATAAGATCGATAACGACAACCAATCATATTTCCGGACACGGTTTTGCGAGTACGTAGTGCAATATAGAATATTCATTATTTTATTCATTAATCCTAAACCGAAACTTTATTAAATTTTTCAATAGAGAAATATTAAAAAAACGATCGCAAGCGAAATAATATGGTGCATCAAAGAGGGAGGGAGTTCTCGGATCCTAGGCCATTAAATGAGAGTCCCTGCATCAAATTATTTCTTTGCTCTCAGGCTTATAATTTTTACACCTAAATCTATATCACTAACTTCACCCTTATATACCTTTTTTTTCAATTAATATTTTTAATTATAATTCAATAAATAATTATTTAAATTTTATGAAATTTTACAAAAAC